CCTTGTCGCAACCCCACTCCCCACTCAAGGGGAGGCTCCAGCAGCTAGCAGTGTTTACCCTGGGGAGGGGAAAGAAGAAACAAGACTTCCAGAGCAAAAGGGATGGGGAGGACAGGGGAGGGGGCGGGGTGGGAAAGGAAGGGAGGTGGATCAGCCGTACCCTGGATGCCTGCTTTGTGTAGGTGTTTTGCGTGCTGCGGGGCCGGCAGAGCATTGAGGAACTGTCAGAGGAGGGTCAGGCCACCTGTTCAGCTGTGGAAAGATGCTGGGACAATGAAGTCATGAGTTCAGAGGACATGGATCTATGCAAATGTGTGCCATCTACCATAAGAAAACGGGGGGTGGGGGGTGGGGACAAGAGTGGGGATGGTTTGCACCGAGCCATCCCCATTCCTGGAGAAAGCGCTAGAAAGATCTGTCTCTCTGGGAGGGACATCAGAATCTCTATCTGATGCAAAGGAGATGGGATAGGAACTTAGAGTCAACCAGGGAAGGCTTCCTGGAGGAGGTGTTTAATGTGCCCTTTTCACATCTTCTGCGTCTCTTCCTGCAGGTCTGAATGCCCTTCCCAGCAGTATGTCTCTCTCCAGTGTTCCCGTAAGAAGATGCTCTTCCTCCTGGACTGTGGCCTGTGTGGGGTGGGAGTCAGGGAGCAGAGGGGTGGGACCTCTCTGGGGGCGATGGTCAGCCCTGGGGGTCCAAGCCAGGAAGATGGTCTTAACTAGCAGGACTGCTTCAGGGCTGGGGGCCCCGTAAGGCGCCGGGACAGTCTCAGGGTAGCATTTGTCTTTGCCCTGACTCTGCCCAGCTCAGCAACCTTGTTCATACAAGGGAAGCCATTCAAATCTCATGGATTCTGGGTGGTGGGAAGGACTGGGAGAGCCAGTCTGGACCAGCTTAAAGCTCCCATATCAGTAGACGCGGAACTAGATCTAGGGCCAACATTTACTGAGTACCTTCTGTGCCATAAGGCACCGGGCTCTTGATAAACACGATTGCGTGGGATTCTCACGGGGCAGATGCCATTACTGTCCGCTCACTGGTAAGAGGCCGAAATGTTTGCCTTGCTTAATGCACACCGCTGGTAGGTGGGGAGTCAGTATCCAACCTCGGGCCTGACCCCAAACCCCAAGCCATGAATCAGCCCACAAGTGCTGTGTTCTCTGTAATGACCAGGTAGGGATGCTCCCCTGGGCAGGCAGGCACGGGGACTACAGACGGAGTGCCCACCCCCTCCGATCGCTGCTGGTCCTTCACTCTGTCCCCTTTCGAAGAAAAAAGGACACGTGTCTGAACACACTTGGGGACTGCCCTCCTTGTCCACAATTTGGGGGGGGCACGATTCACTCCTTCTGGAAATGTTCCCTTGGGATCCATACAGGGTCCCCAGTAGCCCTGAATGACCCACTGGGGAGCCATGTGGGCACAGACCCACCCGCACATCCGGGAAAGTTCATTTCTCCTTTGTCTGCAAATGATAGAGGTCCCTGTCACCATGCCCATCAATTCAGGCTCATGTCAGACTTGGTCTGCTTCCCCGACCTCCTGATAGCAGCCTTGGGGTTCACCGTCACCACCTCGATGCTTGGCACGGTGCCCAAAGCTTCAGGCACTTAGTAAGCCTTTGCCAAGGAGAGAAGGAATGAGTGGCAGGAAAGAGGAACCCGCCTAGGATGCAGCTTCGTGCTGGGTGATCCCAGGGGTCTGACCTACTGCTCTGCTTTGGCAGGAAGCAGCCGAGCCACATCAGATGAAGTGAGCAAAGCAGTGTCCGTGGGCGGGTGGGTGCCCTCAGGACGAGGCTGCCCGAGCCTGCCCTGGATCCAGGGAGCACGGTGGCGGCTCTGAGGACAGCAGAGGTCACGGTTTGTCTCTTCCGCCTCTCCCCAGACTGTGGACTGAGGGCCATGACCGGGCGGATCGTGGGAGGGGCGCTGGCCCCAGAGAGCAAGTGGCCTTGGCAAGTGAGTCTGCAGTATGGCACCACGCACATCTGCGGGGGCACGCTGATCGACGCCCAGTGGGTGCTCACCGCCGCTCACTGCTTCTTTGTGTGAGTACCCGAGGGGGGAGGGGTGACTCCGTGCCTCCCGGGTTGGGGATCACCAGGAGGGCCCGATGGCCGACTCACTTGTCGGTCCGCAGAGGAGGGCTTGGACTGTGACCCCGGCCCCCGAGGGCAGGCGCCACTGGTGCGGCCGGGGCCGTGGTTTGAGGTTGCGATTTGGTCCTGGGGAGTGTGAGTTGGGGCTTCTGGTTCCGAGCTCGGCCCAGAATGAGAAAAGAACCGTGATGACCCCGAAGGGAGGGTGAGGCGGGCCGACACAAGGGCTTGGGAACCTGCCCCTGAAGAGGCCTCTGCTTTCTGCAGCAGGAACTTACAGGAGGAGAGCCCGAGGAATTGGGAACGCGGATCCGGGAAGTGAGGGATGGGGATAGTAGGGAGGGTGGAACAGTCAGCTTCTGACCGTCACCGGCCAGGCTTGTCCCTTTGAGCCGGTGAGCAGGAAAGGGCCTTGGGGGGGGGGGGGCGGCACTGGCTTCCCCAGTCGCGAGTGAGTCTCTGGCAGATCCATTTGTGCCGAGGTGTGGCCTGTCCACCTTGTAGGAAACTTGGTGGCACGACGAGGAGGCGGTGGGGGTAGATGCTCACAGGTTGTGCCCCGTGCCCTCTCTTTATTACTGGGAGGTGCAGAGTGGCCGGTTCACGAGGGGCTTGTGGAGGCAGGGGATTGTTTTGGAGCCCTGGGCTGGGATAGACGGCTCCCCTTAGAGGTCATTTCGTCCATCCTCCTGCCTGTAAGCTGCAGCCACGGCCGCGGCTCCCTGGGTGTAGCAGGTGCTGCCACTGGGCTCCACCAGACCACGGTCTCTTGTGGCTCCTGCAGGACCCGGGAGAAGATCCTGGAGGGCTGGAAGGTCTACGCGGGTACCAGCAACCTGCTCCAGCTGCCTGCGGCGGCCTCCATCTCCCAGATCATCATCAATGGCAACTACACGGACGAGGAGGACGACTATGACATTGCCCTCATGCGGCTCTCCAAGCCCCTGACCCTGTCTGGTGAGTGGATCGACACCGGTCACACCCACCCCGGCTCCTCCAGGCGACCCTCAGGGCCCAGCCTTGTGGCCTCCGTGCACCCCTCTTGGGGTTCCCGAGCCTCAGCACGGTGGCGGTCAAAGGCTCTTAGGGGTCATTTATTGCAACACCTCTACTTTACCATCGAGGAAACTGAGGCCCAGAGGCTAGAAATAAGGTTGTCCCAAATGACACATCTCGCATCGCAAGCTGGTGACAGAGACAAGGCTTGGATACTGGTCTCAATCCAAGTACATAGATCGAATTGTTTCATGCGCATTTATTGAGCACTTACTAGGGGCTGGGCACCGTGGTAGGCGTTTTACATCTGCGGTAACACTAAACTCTTCACAGCCAGTCCTGTAGAGCAGATACTCTTGCCAGCTTCGGTTTACCTTTGAGGAGATGGAACTTTCCAGAGAGAAGATTACCCAAGGCAATGAAGTAGTAAGTGGCCGCTCCGGGACTGGATCCAGGAGGGTCCCCCTCCCTAGCAATGCCGTTTGCCCTGGGCTCTCCGCTGGCCGATTGCTATGACGGCCGTGGAGAACACATTCCAAAAGCGGATTGCCACGGGGTTGACTAGAGAAATGACGTGCTCGGAGTTGTCAGGAGATCAAAGGAGGCTTCATTCATTAATTCACTCTCTCCTGTGCAAACTTACCAAGTACTTACTGTGTGTCCGCTGCTAGGTAACAGGCTGCACAGTTGCAATTCAATTCTATTCAAATCGAACAATGGGTGACCCACACAGACAGTCCCCAGAGGCCGATGACGTGATGATGAGGACGGCTGGGGGAGCCACGGTGGCACAGATGGGGCTTCCTTGAAGGATAGCTGAGTGCATCAGGCTCTCCAGAAGCCTCCGAGGGCTCTCTGGTTAGTCCTGCCTTTCTGGTGCTCTGAGCCCGTGAGCTGGTCTTTCTTGGCACATTAATTACAGAGGTGGTATCGGTCATGACTCAGACACTGGGTCATCAGAGTGGGGTGAGGAGGAGGAAACCACAGCAGAGCTCAGTTGGGTGGGGCCGGTCCAGAGCCACACCACCCAGCAACCCAGCCACCCAGCGGGCAAGCCCTCCCTGCCCTCTTCCTGTCCTCCAGCCTTGTTTGTGGAGCCTGGGACTGCGAGGTGAGGGGGCATTCCTCTGCCCCCGCCCTGCCCTGCCCCTCACGCCCACCCAAAAGGGGGGCAGTCAGGTCTACAGGACCAGGATAGGCCTTTCCAACCTTGCCGAACCTAGACTCCATTTGGCTAAGCTTCCAGATCTCCAACCACCCCAACCCCCCTTTAATGTTATTTGGAATTCCAAATCAAATTAAGTAATTTGTAAAACCAAACGAAAGGTATTACGATATCGCACGTGCTTTTCAGACTATGGGAGGCCCCTCTCCAGACTCCGATAGGCCCCTGGGCAGGAAGCACACGTGTAGTCTGAGAAGCACAGCTTAGATTTATGTAGTCCTCTGGTCAGACCATGTGCCCTGAGTTTGGGTTTAGAAATCAGGCAGATTTTCTTCAAACTCCTTCAGCAGGCCTAGCACCTTGAAGTCACGGTACTATCGGTGAAAACTTATGAAAACTCACTGATACATGTAATCCCCCCATAAAAATGAGCGGGATGTATAGCAGTGTGACATGTTTTTAAGACCCTACATCTTAAAAATGAGCATATTTTAAGAAATTAGGTTTTGCTTTTTTTGGTTAATTATTGATGCCATTCCCTCATTTTTTTTATTAAAAATTTTTTTACTGTTTATTTATTTTTGAGAGAGAGACAGAGACAGAGCATGAGCGGGGGAGGAGCAGAGAGAGAGGGGGACGCAGAATCCAAAGTTGAGTCTGTCCGCACTGAGCTGTCAGCACTGAGCCTGACACAGGGCTCGAACTCACCAACCGCGAGATCATGACCTGAGCCAAAGTCAGACGCTTAACCGACTGAGCCACCCAGGCGCTCCCCCCACCTTTTTTTTTTAACCCTCATTTATTTTTTGTTTGTTTACTCTCCAGCAGACGAACGTGTTAGACACCAAAACTTAAAGCCCACTTTATGGAAGAATCTAGCATTGATTCTCACTCCCGCCCTCCCTTCCTCTGTGTCTGTCCTTCCTTTCTTCCTTGCTCCGTTTGTTGAGCACGTTGCACGTGTCGGGCACTGTTGCAGATGCAGGAGGCTACAGTGAGCGTAACGAACAATTGAGGACACTGCAAACATTCTATCACCTGAGAATTTCCTCTTGCAAATTGGGGTTTGGTGGTCCATGCCCTGGTCTGTCTAAGGACGCCAGTCCTCGGAGAGAGCTTGTGAAGTGATCTCCAACAACACCTTCTAGATGTTTCTGAGCACGGGAGCAAGTGAGCAGTGGTTTTGTGGTCTGTGCCTCTAGGGCTGTGCTCTTCCCACATGGAGAGGTTGTCTGACCTGGAGGGAGTGCCTCAGGCCCTGACCAACGAGTGGGTGCTCTCCCCAGACCAGGCTGGACACATCACTGAGATGCCGTGGTGAGAATGCCTGGAACTTAGCCTGTGGCTGCTCTTTGCTCGGATGGACGGGCACGGAGGAGGCTCAGCCAGGAAAGCTGCTCTAAGAAGGGAGAGATGTGTGGCCACCCAGGATCGGCTTGGCACAGGGGAGCTTCCAAGGCCTATGCTTCTGTCCACAGGGCACCCACTGAAATCAGAATGCTTGAGGGACTCTGGTAGTACCCTTTACAGGCTGGAGGGTCAAGATGAAGTGACTGAGTTTCTTGCCTGGTCAGTTCAAGGGCCCAGAAGATTCAGAACCAGTCTGGGGGCAAGGAGGAGGGTCCTAGGACACTGGGACTCCCGTCCCTTTGAGCTACCCTCCCAACCAAAATCTCCAGCCTTGTCCCCGCACTGATGTCTTGAGGTCTCCTTGCAGCTCATGTCCACCCTGCCTGCCTCCCTATGCATGGACAGACCTTCGGCCTCAATGAGACCTGCTGGATCACAGGCTTTGGCAAGACCAAGGAGACAGATGGTGAGGGGCCAGAGATGCTGGGGTGTGTGTGTGTGTGCGTGTGCGTGTGTGTGTGTGCATTTGTATGGAGTGGGTGGAGGTGATGTGTTGGGGTATATAGAGGAGGGCCTATCTAGATGAGGGTTTGGGCATTATGGATTCATGGGCCTGGGTGTGGATGTCTGCGTGTTCACCTCACTCCCACACATAGCGGACTGTCTGGTAGCCCGTAACAGAAACTTTTAATCCCGCGAAGTCCACCCTCGACCCAATCTCCCCATCTTACACATGAGGAAACCGAAGACCTCCGGGGCTAAGTCACTTGCCCACGGTCACCCCGGTACTTTCCAACAGACAGAACTGAGTCTAGAACACGGTTCTGCCTCTTTTTAAAAGTGAAAAAAAGAGAAAAAGGTTGTCTTGGCACGGGCAGCGTTAGTCAACCGAAAGGAGAAGTCCCAAGTGTACGAGTGAAAAAAATCCCAGCTGTTGACACAGGCTTAACTAATCTCAGCTACTTTTGCATACGGCTACGGAAGTTCAGAAAGCTATCCTGTACGTAGACACAAGACGTGTTTGTACACAGGTCCGTACATGAGGGCCTGGACATTTATTGCCTCTGAACTCTTAGGTGCCGCCTCCCGGTGAGGAGGCACCAGCGTTTCATTCCCATACCTTACGAGAAAAGAAAGACTATTTCCAGGACTGACAATGCTGTGCAGCCTGTGTTCAGACCACATAGGCTTCATGGCTCAGATCCTTCCATTGCTGCAGACCACACCAGGTGCCTGCGTCCCCCTAAACAGCTTTGCGCAGAGCGTTCCAAAGTAAAAGCCTGTAAACCAACCCAAGGTAGGGGTGTATATCCCCACGTGTATGTCAAAGCGGTTGGTGCGACAGTGCCCTCCAGCCAAGCCCCCCTGGAAACCCTCCGTAGTTGCGAACACCTTGGGTTCCTTGCTTATTGCACTGAGGGGGGACGTGTACCATGGAGAACCGTGAAAGTCTTACTAACAGAGTGGTAGACAGGACTTATCATAGGACCTGGGTGGTTTGGGGATGCAGGTTCAGAGAAGCGGAGCACTTGTCCAGACTGGATGCTTTCAGGAAGCAGGAGTAATTCCACGATTGGGTATCTTAATAGTCTCCTCTGGGAGTTAAGAATAAACTGAGTCGAAAGCTCTGATGGGTGAATAAACGGTAGCCACTCCTACTGGCTGGGAGAGGGGATATTTGGTATTTTTGTGGTTTGCGCAGTAACCTCCCTTAAGTTTCGTTTATGCTCAAACAAGAGTAAGGTGGCTTCCCCGCCATCACGGACGGAGTGGCCTCGTCCGATGTTGGCTCCGAAAGATCGGTTACGTTTGGCCCGAGAGCGCCTGGCTGGCCTCACTGTTAGACTCTGGCTAGCTGCCGGGGGCAGGGCCGCTGTTCCCTTGCTCAGTGTGACAGAGCGGTGACTGGCCCGGGAGCAGCCTGGTCCTGATCTCGGCCCCAGAACTGACCAGCCGTGTGACCGTGGGCACGTCGCAACTTCGGCCACGAGTTTCTCCAACTGTAAACGGATTCATTGCGCCCCTTCCGGGCACCTAGTTCCTGAAAACCAAATGAAATGGTGGATCTGATGGTGCTTTGAGTACAGAAAGGCGCTGTGCAGCGTGCAGGCAGCCTCGTGGGCTGTGAGTTTGAATGTGTACGTACGTGTATGTCTCTGTTACGTGTGTGGGAGTGTGTGTGCGTCCGTACGTGCTGGGGGGCCAGCCGTGGGAGTGGTGCCCTCCGCTTCCAGGAAGCTGGGAGTCCGGGTCGTGGGGTGAGCGGCTAGAAGGCCGGGAAGCTGCTGGAAGTCTCACTCCTTCCCATCTTCTCTTTCCTCGACTCCACTGAAGAGAAGACATCCCCCTTCCTCCGGGAGGTGCAGGTCAACCTCATTGACTTTAAGAAATGCAATGACTTCTTGGTCTATGACAGTTACCTTACCCCAAGGATGATGTGTGCTGGGGACCTTCGGGGAGGCAGAGACTCCTGCCAGGTGAGGCTGCCTGGGAGAAGGCTGGGGTGTTGGGTTTGGAGTGAGAATCTGGTGCCCACTGTTGCTTGCTCAAGGACCACCTCCCCTCCCCTGCTGATAATGTGTGCTCCCTCCTCCCCGCCCCCCCCACCCCCCTGTAGGGAGACAGCGGGGGGCCCCTGGTCTGTGAGCAGAACAGTCGCTGGTACCTGGCAGGAGTCACTAGCTGGGGCACAGGCTGTGGCCAGAGGAACAAGCCCGGTGTGTATACCAAAGTGACAGAAGTCCTCCCCTGGATCTACAGCAAAATGGAGGTGAGAGCCTGCAGGGGGTGCTGCGTGGGGCAGGCTGGGAGCTCCCAAAGGTGGGGTGCCTGCAAGAGGGCCCGGGCTTTCCCCAGGGGCTCGGCAGAGTTCCCCTCACCCCCTTGTGCTTGGGGTGTCCAGAAGACTGGGACGGGACAGCAGTCGAATGGTAGGCCGACCCCAGCTGCCCGTGTTTCTGTCCCTCAGATTCTTTCCTCTGAAGGGTTGAAAAGGGGTGGGCCCAGGCTGGGTGCCGGCCCCAGGAGCACCGTCCTCCCGGAAGAGAGGCCGGTGTGGGATTTTGCACAGCCTTTGGAGAATTGTGTGCAGCTTTGGCCTCCCTCCTTGTGAGAAGTTAGTCTCTCAGCGGAGATGGGGAGGAGGGAGAATCCTCTCTCTGCTGCCCCATCAGCCCCTACCAGCTGAGCCTCCTGTGGCGGCATGGCAAGCAGGGAGCCAGTGTATCTCCTTCTCTCACCCAGGGGCGGGGGAAAACCAAAGAAGGCTTTGGGTGACATGCCAGAAATCAGTCCGGTGTGGTCTCTCTCATACAGCACCCATGGTTCCTAGATTTGCTTTTGCTTGTCTCTCCGAGGGCAATGCCCAATGTGTTTTGGACTGGATTTTACTCTCCTGAACCCCCACCTTGAGCTCTGTGTTCTGGCCCACCCTCACCCTCTTCTCCCTTGTTCTCTTCTTACTAGAGTAGAATTAAGCACAAATCTAAGCATCTCCTGTCCCTCCACAGCCTGGCCATAAGACCCTGGCCAAAGTGACTGGGCCATTTGCTGTAGTCATCATCTGGTATTAAAGGTTCGAGGCAACTTCAATTCCTCCCACCTCATGTCTACTGCCTCTGTGAATGTGCACGTGTGTGTGTGTGTGTGTGTGTGTCTTGTAGCATGTCTGGCGATATCATATATTATTGTAGTTGCTCTCCCAAGGTTTTCCAGAAACCAGGAGAGCTGTCAGCCCTTTCCAAACCCCAGGCTGGAAAGCACCTGGAGATAACAGTTTGGGTGCTGTGGACCTTCCTGTAAGGGCGTCCGTCACGGATGGAGGAGGTTGAGCCCAGACAGCGCCCAGAGGAAGGGCCTAGAAGATCACATCAGAAATTCCTGCTCCTCGGACCCTGGCTCAGAGACTAGCCCAGACTGAGAAGCCACCAGCATCGCCGCTGTCCTGGGATGGATTGCGGGTGTCGTCGGAGTACCGGGGCCGTCCCCGGCGGGAAGGTGCCCCCCCTCGGCATTACAAGCGTCCTGCCCTTTCTCAGGCCTCCTGCGGGTGCCCTGGGTGTGGAGGGCTGACTGAGCGGTGGCTGCCCAGGCTGACAGCTGGCCGTGTGTGGTCACAGGCTACTGGGGCAGATTTTTATTGTATTTTTATATTCAAGAAATGGAACTGGATGTATTTTTAAAGATTCTCCAAAACTTCCAGGAGCCTGAAGAGCTAACATCCATCACCCCAAACACTCCAAGAGACTCTTGGGGGCTGTACCATTCCAGAGTCTTGCTGAGTGTTCCTGACATCCAGGGACCCGAGGAAGGAGCCCCTTCGGGGCGCTTAGGGAAGAGCGTCCTCGCGTGGGCTGGTGGGCAGGTCATCACAGAGAGCCACGACTGTCGCTGCGTCCAAGGGCTACACCCAGGGCGTGAAGACATGGCTGCTGCTGCTTCTCCGTGGGCGTCGGAGCCCGGGGACAGTCCGGGTGGACAGACACCCCTCATACCCAGCGCTGTCCCGGACCTGCCAGTTTCTCTCAGCCCCTCCGCCTTTCAGTTTCTCAGCTGCTTCAGAAACAGCACGGACACGAACGCTGCCGTGGAGAGAGGGTGGACACAGTCCCCAGGCCCTCCAGATAGCCGTCGTGAAGGATCTGAGTTGCTGTGCTCCTGTAAGTTGTCCGTGTGCCTGGCCCCCGTGTCAGCTGGAGGTCTGGGCCTCCCTCAGCCTTTCCTGGCCCGTCCAGTTCTCCTCACTTTCCTGGGTCTCGCCTGGTGATACTAGGACTCCCAGAGGCAGGGTCCAAGCAGGACAGCCCAGCCCAGCTCACGCAGGTGGCTTCCCGGGGGCTAGACCACCCAGGAAGAGCAAGGCTGGGCAGAGCCCGAGGGGGCTGGTTGCATGGTATCGAGGCCGGGGGTCCGGGAGGGCAACGTTCATGTCCACGGCATCCCCAGCAATAGTTTTCAGCAATAAAAGTTGTGTGACCCGAAAAATGTCTTATTGGATGTTCTAGGGATCCCCTACGTAGAAAATTGAGATTCCCCAACCAGTGCCCAGAGAGCCTCAGTTTGGGTTCTTAGTTTGGGTTCCTCTGCTGTGGATTCTGCATATATATTTAGCCAGCCGGCCACCTCCCCACCATATCAGCACCTCCTCTGTCCTGGGTACCCACGCCAGGCCCCCGGAGTACAAAGATGATGACAGTGTCCTCAGGAACTCTTGGGTGTGACCCGGTGGAAGGTGGATGAGTGTGGACGCCATGCTTGGAAGCTCCCAGTTGCACCTAGAGAGGTCAGGGAGGGCTTCACGGAGGAGGTGAGGTTTGAAATGAATCTTAAAAGGTAGGTAAACCTTCACAAAAAAGCAGATGGGGTGGATGAAGGACGATCCAGTGCTTGTCCTTTTTCCTTTTTCCCTTCTTCCTCTTTCTCTGCCTCTGCCTTTGTCAGCCCAGCAAGAGGCGTGTTTAGCAGAAAGCCCCAAAGCCTACTCCACTATTTCCAAGACACTCAGATAGCTGGTCCCACTGGCTTCTGGAAGATCTATCCCTCCTAGCTGTGCACCTACTTTTCCTGCATCTGATATACTGACCTCCGTCATTGTGGTCCCGCTGATGAGTGGCCAGTAGCTGAGTGGGTGAGTGGCAGCTGGGAAGGGAGAGAGAATCCCAAGTAGGCTCCATGCTGTCAATGCAGAGCCCGACGTGGGGCTTGATCCCACATGATCTGAACTGAAATCAAGAGTTAGACACTTCACCGACTGAGCCACCCAGGTGCCCCGGATGTGTCTTCTTTACTCTCTCATACCAACGTGAGGGGAAGTCCTTCCTTCCATTTTTTTCTCGCTCCATCCGACAAAAAGGCGTGGGGGAGAGGCAGCCACCAGACTTAGTGTGCCAGCAGTGGGGGTAACACAGCTACCCCCGTAGATCCCACAGCTCCCCACAACCTCAGTGGCTTAACCCAAAGGTTATTTCTCATCGATCTGAACTTCCAGGGAGGGTGTCTGATCAGTGGGTGGCTTCCTCCCGCATTATTTTTCAGGGGCTCAGATTCTTTCTACCTCGTGATTTTGTCACCTGCTTCTGGCCACGGGAAAGAGGGAAGAGAAGAGGATGCTCTGGGCCAGCAGCGATGTATGTCAGTTTCGCCCCCATTTTGTGGGTGTCAACATGTAGGCACCCCCCAGGTGAAGGGGGACAGGGATATGCAGTCCTCGGTCGGTCCCCGGGCAAGAGCAAGCCCTCATGTTGGAGGACAACCAGCTGTCTGCGCCCACCAGACGTTCATGGGTCACAGCCAGGCCTTGTGGCAGAGAGTTCAAGTGTAAGCCATTTATCTTCATTTCCCCTTAGAAACCAGACCCTTTTCCTTCTCTGCCTGGCTTCCTAGGACAGAAGCGACTTGTAGGGTTACAGGGATGTGGGTGCTGGAGGAGAGATAAGGTAGAGAAAAGGCCTTTTCGTTTGAAAGGAAAAGAAAAAACGTTCCTTAGGTCCAGGACATTTATAGAGGCCATAAAAATCATGGAAGGGGGTGATGGGACTTTGCAAATTGGTCCAGAATTTCCAGGAAGATGGTGCGTGTGTGTACGGATGGGGAGGTAGGGGAGGTTGCTGGCGACATCGTCCTCTGGTCAGTGCCTGGTTCCCAGACATCTGCGGGTACCAGTCAGGCTCTCCGGCTTCGTCAACTCCATTGCCTGCTGAATTTCCCCTGGGAAAGGGAGGGCGGGGCCAAGTGAGTGTCTCGGGGGGTGGGACAGTCTCTCTTTGGGGACAGAGCCAGTTACAGCCTCAGCCTCGCTGCCCATCCAGCTGCCTCTGGAGTTTGGTTAGATTCCCAAGGGCTTTTGTTTCCCAGAATTGCTCAGCCGATGTCCTCATGTGCTATGGGGGGACATTGGGAGATGTCGAGAGCTCCTTGTAATGAGAAAAAAGAGGATAATGATGCTAAACGCTAGCACTTGCTGGATGTTCGCTGTGTGCCAGATGCTGTGCTCAGCCTCTGACGTCTCTTCTCTCCTGTAAGCGTGAGGTAGGCATCGTTATTATCCCTATTTTACGGATGAGGATGCAAAGGCCAAGGCAAGCCAAATAAGCTTCCCCAAACTGCACAGCTACTGAGTGGGGGCGCTGAACCTGAATCCAAGCTGTGTGATTTTAAAAGCTGCTTTCCAAAGTCGGCTAGGGTTCCCCTAGCTGTGACCTCATAGACTCGGCCGCCTGGCTCGCCGTATCTTTCCATTCTCCACCAGGCCCCTGCTGTGGGAGGGGCAGGGCGGGAGAGCTCCACGGAGAAGGCTGGGCACACCCCTCGGACAGTCACATGACCAGAGGCGTAGCTCCTGCAGTTTCTAGAACCTGAGAGAAACGCGTGATGGATTATGAACTATGAAAGGGAGGTGGCCCCCTGACTCCTCTTGTACGCACGTCCCAAGTGGAGGGTTCCTGGGAGGCCCTCCCGTGCCACAATAAGCTGTCACCTCAGGACACCTCCATGGCTCCTCAGTGTGAGTGGGTGGCTCCAAGAGTCGCATGCCGCTCATTCTCCACCTCCTCTGCCCTGACCCGGGCTTCCCGTTCCTTGGAAACCTGCTGCCCAGCCCAGGCAGCAAGCTCATACGGGTCTTACAATGGGTCCACTCCAAACACGGAGGACCATTCTCTGCAGATAAGCAGCCTGGATTGTCCAGACAGAGATTTTCTTAGATGAGTCCTTGGAGAAGGGGAGGGTATGGCCCGGTCTTTGGTCCTCCATGGCTCAGTTCCTGCCGGCGGGACTTGAGATGTGGACATAACAGGATGCCTCCCCTGTCCAAGGCCCGAGTCTCGAAAGAAGTTCTTCATTTCTCCTACAAGGAGGGGGCTGGGGATCTTCTTAGAATTCCGCCCGATTACCCTGTGGTTTAGTGGCAAAAGCCCAGAAGTTGGAATCGAGGGACCCGGGGGGTACAAACTCCAGCTACGCCACGTACTTAGCTGTGTGATCTTGGGCGAGCCGACCTCATGTGACCTAGGCGCCCCTCAGAGGATTTTATAGGTACAGGCAGTAGCTCAGAAATCTGCCCCTCTCTGTACCTCTCTCTGTACCTCTATTCTCAAGACTCCCGCCCCCTTCCCTGGGTCAGGCTCACGCTCCCTTCTCTTCAGCTTTCAAAGCCCTATAAACAGACACAGTTCAGGCCTGTCTCCATTATAAACATCGCACAAAGGCCTATAAATTCTCTTTTGAGTCAAAGCCATTCCTTCCTGATAAGATCATGGCAGAAACCAAGATGGGCATAGATTTTAATAATTGTGTACAGATTTTCACGTAACCTAAGTGTTCACTCCCCCAGGATAAATTACTATGGGTCATATGGTGATCGTATGTTTATAAGAAACCGCCAGGCTGTTTTCAGAGGACCTGTACCAGCCTGCCTTCCCACCTGCAAAATATGAGTTCCATTTGCTCTTCATCCTCCCAGGAATCGGTATTGCCCGTATTTTTTTATTGTAGCCATTAAAATTTTTTTTTAATGTTTATTTATTATTGAGAGACAGAGAGAGACAGAGTGCAAGCAGGGGAGGGGCAGAGAGAG